GTTTTGCAATGGGGATCACCTCCCTGATATCCAATATGTCCTGAATATAGAGCCTAGATATTAGGGATTTATTCACAGAAATGGTAGCTGAGCTGATATAATGGTTTATGATCTGTACCATTTGTACATGAGGAATTGTCAACGATTTTTAAAGGATGGAATGCCATCTTAAATAATAATAATAATAATAATAATAATAATAATAATAATAATAATAAATGGGTTTCCTGTCATGTAGAAAGCTACATGTCAGGGAGAAGAATCATGTCCTAGCTTTCTTCCAGATATGTTAACTTTCTGTACAAAGGGAGAAATATTCAGCCTTGCTACCTCCCACTTAGAGGCTGAAATGGTAGGATCTTGGTTTCAGTTGAGCCCAAGGATTGGAGTTCGATTCCCTGCTCAGCCATGGAAACCCAATGGGTGACCTTGGGCAAGTCACACTCTCAGCGCCAGAGACTGGGAGCTCTACAGACTGGGATCTTGGAGACCTCCTTATGCAAACCCATGAAAAGTGTGTCTGTCCCATGCTAATGTAGTGTCCAACAGGATTCTGGCCTCTACTGGCATGTCTTCATGCACATGAGCTAATATTTTGGTTTTTGGAGTCAAAATTAATGTTACTGGCTCTTTGGAAGACAACCACTACAGTTGCACATATATGTTGGTAAAGACTTGAAAAAGCAGTCATGAGTTGCCCCTTTGTTAAGCATCCTCAGGCATGCTAAACTTAAAACTAGATATAACCAAACCCCCAGTTCCAGTACTGATGTTATTGGAGTACTACGGATCCCCTTCTTGGTTTGCTCACTATTATTAATTATTTTGATTATAAATTTTATTAACAAGATAATCTGCTGCTGCTGGAAATAGCTCAAGCTACATTGCTGGGCAATATTTGTTTTTAGTCCAAAGGCATTCAATGCTCCTTGACTTTGGGCTTTGACCATAAATTTCAACAAAGCAAATTGAGGATGGCTACCAATTTCTAAAACCTCCTACAAGCAAAATTAATAAGAAATGCTAGTTAGGGTGGAAATTCCCCCCACCAACTGAATGGTGGTTTGGTTTTTTATAAAGAAAACTACCATACATCTGTTTTTTTGTTTTGTTTTGTTTTTTTTTTTTGTACCAATTAGTTATTAGGGCAGTTTGAAATAAAGAGTTCCAAACTAGTTACCACTGCACTTCTTTCCTCTGTTCACAACAAAACAAACAGATCTCATAGAGAAAAGAGGAACAACCATATGTTTAAGCAACCATGTCTAGTTAGAAAACCATTCACTCTCAAGCTTGGGATCTATTGTCTTTTCAAGAATGGTTAATGGTGTTCTTTATATTACAGGGCCGTTGTTGTTGTTTTGTGCGGGACACTAACAACTTATGAAGTGGTTGCATTGAATTATCCAAAAATAAGACTGGATGGTCATCTGTCGAGAGTGCTTTAATGGTGTCTTCCTGCATGGCAGGGGGTTGGACTGGATGGCCCTTGGGGTCTCTTCCAACTATCATTCTTTGATTATAGATCACAGATTAGTAGAACCAAAGGGGGTGGCAACTGGTTGCTCCATTGCTAATGAGATGATAAATCTGCTCTGGGTTTAACTTTGAACTTTAAAAGAGCTATTCAGTGTACTAAAACACTTTTCAGAGAAAGCTGGGAGTACCTGGGTAGCAACTATGAAGTCTGACCCAATTGACTGTTTCACTGACATGGACCCTACCAGCCACCACTGACTCAAAGTGGTTTCAAATAGCTAAGCTTATCCAGGTCTTTGCTGTCCTCCTCCAGCTACTGCCTTCCCCCCACCCAGGACCAGGGAGCACTTCCAGAGATGGCTAAGTATATATGATATATTTATTCCCCTTCCATTGGAATGGGGGGAACATCTGGCTAGCCTACAGATGTCACAAGGGTGAAATGCAATTGCAGAGGCATCTTTAAGCAGAGGCTGGATGGCCATCTGTCAGGGATGCTTTGATTGGGAGTTCCTGCATGGCAGGGGGTTGGACTGGATGGCCCTTGTGGTCTCTTTCAACTCTATGATTCTATGATTCTATGATTCCATTGGGCTTGGGGACTCTAGAATGCTCCGTCCATGAACCTGATGTTGGGAGATCACCAAGGGTGTTTATCACCTTTATCATACCTATTGGAAATGCCAGTGGGGGTGAAAAAAACCCTTCCGTTCTATCTCCCTACAGCAGTGGTTTCCAGCCTTTTGTCCTCTAGATTTTTTAGACTTCAGCTCCCATAATTCCTGATGGTTGGCCAAGTTGCCTGGGATGTCTGGGATCTGAAGTCCAAAACAAATGGAAGCCCAAAGGTTGGGAACCACTGCCCTAGAAAATTATAGGGAAGGGACCAAGGAGGAGGAGATGGGAAGCAAAGATTTGGTCCCACCACTTCACCCTTCCAAGGTCAGAGGGGGAAACTCACTGTGAGTGAAGCTCTAGCCATTGACTGTACTGCTGTGATGTGAGAGTAGAGTGGAGGACAGAGCAGCAAAACTGTTGCCTTCAGTTTGTGTATGAGAGGAACCACTAGCCATAACTGAGCTGCTGCGAGGTCATGGAATGTTTATAATATTCTAACTACCAAAAGAAGTACACAGGACCTCAAGAGAGAGAGAAATGATATGCAAGAGTTTGGAAAGCGTGCCAAGTGGGAAGGGGAGTTGAATTTGAACAAACTAATCAATACATCTTTTTGTGAATATCTATGGGTTTCCAGAGAGCCATTGTGGTGTAGTGGTTTGAGCATTGGACTAGGAGGCTGGAGACCAGGGTTCGAATCCCAGCACAGACATGTAAACCCACTGAGTTGGGCAAGCCACACACTCTCAGATTCAGGGAGTGGCAATGGCACACTCCCTCTGAACAAATCTGGCCACGAAAACCCCATGATATGGAAACAACTTGAAGGCATCCAACAACAAACTACTACAGGACCTTTGGGGTGGAAGAATGTTTTAAAAAATTCTCATTCCTTTTCGTTTGTTACCAGAGGGCATTGAACATTTCTAAAAGCTAGTAGTATTCTCTTGTCTGTTTTGATCCCCCCACCCAATAGCTGCTAGGCAAGATTGAGAACTAGTAGGCATTCACTTAAATCACTGCCACATCTGACATGGAGACTGATAGAAAGAGAGGGGGCAGGCTGTTCCTACCAAAATTATTTCCTGGAGTTTTGTTGCTTTGAGATCCTTGATCTATGGAAGTATATGTATGTGTAGGTGTATGTGCATGCATGTGCATATTTGTGTTATATGTGTGATATTATGTGTTATATTACATCTGTGGCTGGCATCCTGGTGGTGATTTACAATGGCATAAGCCAGAGTTATGCCACCACAATACATGTTTTGGTCATTTCAGAGGTCAGAATTCTATTCAAAGCAGACAATGACCAACAACTACTTTGTAAACAACACGAACCCTTCCCCTGACACAACAATTTCTGGTGGTCAGAAAATGTGGGAATCTCTGGGGATGCCTCCAACTGTTTCCTGTCACTGAACACATGGCAAGGATATCATCTGCAGTGAGCTCCTAGATATCCCCTGAGGTCCATGAGGTTATCTGTCTCAGCATGTCCGACTACAGGGAAGTAGCTGGATGTGCTTTCCTGATTCTTTAATGATCTCCAACAAAATAGAACTGGACATGTTCTGGGGCCTACAGTGTTTACAAGATGGGTTTGGGGCACTGGAAGAGGTAGCTATGGAGATGTAGCTTCATGAAACATGGATGTTTCCCAGTATAGATCAATCTCTCTTCCACTATCTCTCTGTCAATAGGTATGTATGACCTTGTTTCTACTGGTTAGTCCCAACTAGAATACACCCATTGAACCAATAGTTGAATAGTGGGTCTACCCATAGGTAAATCCTAACCAATAGGAGTCAGCCCATAGATCATATATACTGTGTTTGCATGTGTGTGTGTGTGTATCTATACACACATACGTACACGTACGTACACACACACACACACACACACACAGGTTGAATCACTCTTATCCAAAATACTCCAAAATCCAACATTGTTGACATGGGTGGCTGAGATAGTGATACTTTCACTTTCTGATGGTTCAGTATAACCACCCTTTGTCTCACACACAAAATTATTATAAATATTGTGTATAAAATTACTTTCATGCTATGTGTATCAGGTGTACATGAAACATAAACAAATTTCATTTTTAGACTTGGTTCCTATCTCCAAGATATCTCATTATTTATATGCAAATACTCCAAAATCTGAAAACTGGTCCCAAGCATTTTGGATAAGAAAGGCTCAACCTGAATGTATGTATGTACCCAGAGAGAGAGAGAGAGAGAGAGATGCCAAGATCCTACATTGCTTGGGGTAGAAGGTAATGCTCCAACTGTGCAGTTACGCCCAGCTACAGGTTCTTGTGCATGCAAGCTCCTCAAAAAGGCAGCTATTTATGTACTCCTATGGCCATTTGGTGGCCAGTGAAGGATGTGGGGCACCCATGCAACAAAAGGTCTGGTTCCATGTGACCCATAGCTTGCACTTTCCCCATCTCTGAACTAAGGATATATGCCTTAAAGAAGCCTTCTAGGGGTATATGCCCAAATTGGATCTGGGTCCTAATAAATTATAGGAAGAGGTTTACATGTTCATACCAGAAGGAAGCAATTTGTTTGTACTGCAGTTGTAGTTGGATTGCTCATCCAATTAGCCCTCCCAGCAAAATGAAGGACAAGGAATGATGGGAGTCATAGTCCAACAACATCTGGAGGATCACATGCTGTGTACCTCGGTTTTAGATACTTCCCATACCTAGGTGAAATAAGGGACAGGGTTGGGTTGTTGTTTTTGTGTGCCATCAAGTAATTTGCAACTTATGGCAACCTTAATGTGACTCTATCACAGGGTTTTCTTGCCAAGATTTGTTCAGAGGTGGTTTGCCATGGCCTTCCACTGAGGCTGACAGAGTGACTTGCCCAAGGTCACCCAATGGGTTTCCATGGCAGAGCAAAGACTTGAATCCTGGTCTCCAGAGTTGTAGTCCGATGCCAATACCACTACACCACACTGACTCTGTTAAAGGAACGAGTTCTTGTCCCCTTGACAGTTGGAAAGAAGAGAGAATTTCAGCAGGTATTGGTTGTCATAAAAGCCTCTACTGCTGAAATTCCCTCTTCTACACAACCATTGAAACAACAGGAGCTCTGCCCCTTATTTCCTCTGGTAATCTCACCCTTATCCCATTTAAATAAAAATAAAACCCAAAATCCTGTTAGTCAATCCTAACTATAGTATACCCATTGTATCAACTGTTGACTAGTGAGCCAATGCAGAGGTAAATCCTACTGATTCAATAGTTCTCCATCTGGTCAGGATTTAACAAAAAAAATTTAGACCAGTGGGTACATTATGTAGTGATTGTTTCAAAACCAAGTTCAGGATATGGTGGCAATGGTCATGGTGTTCAATTATTACATTCACTTTCTCAGCATCAACCATTATTTATGGTTTGACTTTATAAGTATATTGACATTTTCTTTCAGGACCAGATCTTAAGCCTATAATTTTCCAGAAACCTATAATTTCTTCCATGTTCCAAACAGTAAGATTGTGAAAATATTTTGCCATGTACAGTTGGACTCCAATGCTTTTGGCTTTCCATTGTGTTACTGTCCACAACTATAGGGCACTGCAGAAAGAACCATCAAAACAGAGTAGCTTAAAACAACATTGCCCAGTTTTTCTAGAGTGATAATTGTTGGGGTTTTTAAGGGGGGGTAGTTTCTTCCTTTCTGAATTCTCCAGAAAAGGGAGTGGGGTGGGGCTACATCACAAAGATCTGGAAGAAAAGGAGACAGCAGCTTTGCACAGTCGTTCCCTGAACTTGCTTTACTCTCGGGGATGCTGAAACAGTTAAGATACAGGAACACTTCTGGAAGAGTTTATGGGATTTAATAGACAATTCCCTACTTTGCCTTTGTGCAAGATTGGGAATTTAAGGTAGAAAGAAGAACAGGCAAGATATGGCCTATAGGTCCCATTCTGGATGCTTTGGAGAATGGGACTTGTGCTTTTCTTTTGTGTCAAAAGAAGGCATCATTCATTTCTCATTGCCTTTTCAGCTTATCTTCCAGCCAGTTCCTATGGGTACAATCCTCTACTAGCATAACTCACGGCTTTAAACACTCGCCCAACCCATGCACAAGTCTAGATTAAGGCTGCTTCTCCTTCCCAGTCACTTGGTGCATTGACAAAAAGACCCTTCAACCAATTATTCCCAAAGTCACCCCTTCCAGATAGGAAATTCCAGGCATTCACTGCCAATGGAAAGGCAACCATCTTACTTTTGAGAGGCAAACAATGCTTCCATTGTTGCAAAAGGAGGGTATCAAATGAGTAATTACACACAAATTATTTTCTGTAGATGGACTTTGGGTCCCATTGGCAGAAACATCCAGAAGATGACGTTAATAGAATACTATGATACAGCTTGTAAAGAAAGACTCTAGACTGGGGTGGGCAACTGTGGAATGGTAGGGAAACCTTGGAGGGCTGCACCTCCTGCTTCACCCACTCCTGCTGCAACAACAAAATCAGTTTCTGCTCCCCAAATACTCTGTAGGTATGTTCAATGTTTTCAATGTTTTTCAATGTCAAGGGGTATTTTCAATGTTTTCATCCTTCCTGAAACATTTTAGATCCAGAGCAGGCCTTCTTTTAACAACAAGAAGTGTGCATAAGTTTAATTCACATTTGAAAAAAAAAGTCCTGTCTTAGGCTTAAATTGACCCAGGGCAGGCCCAAAATTTGGTGGAAATGCCCCCCAACCTTTAGAGGGCATTTTGAGACACATAAAGTTTTTTTTTTTTAAAATCTTCTGCAAAAATTTTGTTTGACCCCTGGAGAGCCCACAGAGCTCCAAAAGTTGTGGGAATGCCACCCAACACACCCTATAGGGCATTCAAGTGCATTTTGAAACAAAATAAAATTTGGAAAATTTATTTTTGACCCCTTGAGGGGATCCTCAGGGCCATTTTTTTTTTTTTTTTGTCACGGTCGGTATGTGATTTCGCTGGAATTT